GGACGAGGGGGGGGGACGAGGGGGGAAACNGCAACAACAGCNACAGCTACGAAGGGGGGCCCGAGGAGGGGGCCGAGGGGATGGGGGGGAAGGGGTAAACGCGGTGTTTAGATGCGGAACTGAGTCGCGAGACTGGAGGGTAGGATCAGTCACATGCACACCTCTATACTCAAGTGCTGTGTGTGCCGGCGGGGTGTGTATGAAGGCCAGCATGCATGTCTGTGTATATGTGTTTTGGGTTTTGCGTCGTACGACAGACCGGACGGGCTTGCAGGAAAGAGAGCCTGTTGTGGCATACGAAGGTAAGAGGTGTGTGTGTGTGGGGGGGGGGGGGAAAGAGTGTTGGGGTAAAAACCTCCAGGGTATGCTCTATATGCACATACATACACATGCACACACGCACACACTCCATGTGCGGTCGTACGACGATCGTCAACTTGCGGGTTGCCCGTGTACGGCATGTGTTTATTTTGTACTTCAGGATTTTATGGGCCGCATGGTGGTGGTTGACTGGGCGGTGTCCAAGACTCAATACCTCCAGGCCGGAGGGAAGAAGACGGAGGAGGAGGAGGGCGGTGGCGGTGCTGGTGCTGGTGCTGGTGCTGGCGGCGATCGCGGCGATGTTGAATCCGAAGATCCAGATCGGCCTACATCCGGTGGGTGGGTTATGCCTTATTAAGGTTTAAGGGTTTTATGGTTTTACGGTTTCTCTACGGTTTTAGGAGCGGGCGGGGCGCGCTGGTGGCTTGGAGAGGTGTATCGGCTCGGGTGGTGAGGGGTTTTTAAGGGTGGAAGAAGACGAACCACGAACGAATGAAGAAGCTGACGAAATTTACGGGGAGGGGAGGGAAAGGGGGTTTGGGTTTTAGGGGTGGGGGGGCCTGACCTCCTCGCGTTGTTTGTTTGTTGTTGCGCTTCAGTCTCCCCCCCGTGCATACACGTCTTTCCCCCGCGGCGCCCCCTCAGCTCCGACGCTGTACGCGCTCTGACCGTGTTCTGAGGCCCCGTATGTATGTACGTTTGTGTGCATGTATGTACGGTGTTTCGTGGATCTATGTGTCGTACGCAGGATCGGAGGACCCGGGCGACGAGGAGGGGGAAGGGGAGGGGGAGGAGGGCCAGGAGGTCGAAGAGGAGGACGGTGGCGTGGATGGTGAGGAGGACGAGGACGAGGAGGATGAGGAGGAAGAGATTGGGTTTAGCAGCGATGACGATGACGATGACGAGGTAGATGATGATGATGATGATGATGATGATGACGGGGAAGCGGAAGCGGAAGTGCGGGACAGTGAGGAGGAGGAAGAGGACGACGAAGATGAGGGCGAAGAGGAGGAGGAAGAGGAGGAAGAGGTGTTGGACGAGGAAGAGCTGGCGGCCAGCCAGGAGCGTGGCATGATCAGCAATGTACAGCGTGCCGTACGGGACGAGCACGAGGATGGGCAGCAACAGCAGCAGCAGGGCATGCAACAAGGGGCCGCAGCCGACCAAATGAACAACCGAATCAAGGGCCGAAAAGACACGGCCCCCGCCAACGCCGCGGCCACATCTGGTAAGGGTACTGCTGCTGCTGCTGCTGCGCCGCAAAGGGAGGAGCAAGAGCGGCCTCCGAAACGTCAAACGTGGCAAGGAGAGGAGGCGGAGGACCCAGGTAGTGCGTGTGTGTATAGCGTGTGTGTATAGCGTGTAGCGTGTGGTGTGTTTTAGGGTGGTTTTAGGCGGTGATGTTGGGGGGGGAGGGGAGGGAGGGGGAAGGAGGAGGAGAGGGCGGGAGAGGCAGAGGAAGTGTTCGGATGATTGTCGGGGTGTATGTGTGTGTACGGCGGGTATGAGAGACGCCTGTGTCGTTTACCCGTGATCCAGTCCACTTGGACATGCACGGCCCCGTGTTGAACCCCACACCGGGGGGACGAGGGGCCCCCGGACCAGGAACCTTGCAACCCAAGACAAACCCACACGCGCGCGCGTGTGTGTGTGCATCATTGTGCCTTTGAAATTTTTTATTCGTCCCCCTTTTTATGTGCACCTCCTTACTTCTCCTCCTTTCCCCCTTCTGCGTGATGTTGTACGTTGCCGTACAGACGCCGATGACGGCGAAGCACGGCCCACGACGGGTCCATCCAAGGCTTCCGCGTCGTCCCTCAGTACGACAGTATTCGTACGGGGTTTACCCTTGGACGCCACCAAAGAGCAACTGCAGGTGAGGCCAGTAATTGGGTTCGTTTGTTAGCTGGTAGTTCGTTGTTGGTTGGGAGTTATCTTAATCCGTCTATAGGAGGATATGCCTATCTCCCACTCACCCGCTATGTACCATCCCATGCGGGAAGAGCGAGAGAGAGAGAGAGGTTTTAGAGTTTGAATAAAAACGTTTTTGCTGACCAGCTCTATCCGAAAGCTGGTAATTACCCTGGCAGTCACCGTTTGAGTTAGTTGAGGCAGTTATAACGGTTGTCGTACCCGATGGTTGGTTGTTGCAGGCGCGTCTGGAACTTTTTGGACCTGTCAAGGCCTGCAGGTAGGGGTGTGCCTGTATGTATGTGTGTTCGAGTTTCAGAATTTGCCAATGTTTTTGATTTTGAAAGGATTTCGGAAATTTTAGTCAACGACGATAAGATAACGTTGAGCGCTTTGGCGCCCTGGAGGGTGCGTTTCACATTGTGATGAACACTTAACCGAGAGCTGTTCAGATATAACCAACTGTCAACTAAATAACCAACCGCTTTCCTTAAAACGAAGTTCAGGAAAATAAATAACTGTAAACACTCCGTTGCTGTTTGGTTGGTGGTTGCTCAGGTTGGTTATGGATAAGGCCTCCGGTAAGCCCAAGGGTACGGCATTCGTGGAGTTCCGGGAGGAGGAGGCGGCGGGCAGGGCGGCGGCAGCTTGCTCTCGCGGCCGGTGCGACTGGAGGGAGGGGGAGAGGCGTGTGGGGGGGTGGACGGAGGGACGTGTCTGTACATATGTACACATATATGTGTATATATACACATATGTACACATATATACTGTATACAGTAAATGGTATGTGTGTGGGAAAGAAGGTATGGATACACTAGCGTGCAAGGGAGGGTACCTTGATGTGAGTCATCCATCCATACACTCGTTATGTGTGGTGCCTCGAAGATTTGCCGTTCTTTAAGAGCTTTGAGTCATGAGCAGGTGGGGGTGTGTGGATGTGGACGTGTCTGGCGGGCTGCTGCTGCTGCCGTTGCCTGCAGACTGAGCAGCAGCCACGGCTGGTTGCAGCCACCAAGCGGCCTTTCGACCGACTGACTGCCACCAGTACGGCATACGACACACCACACTGGATATACAGACTGATGCCGGTTCCAGACACAGCAAATATGTTAAGCCGCGGCATAGAAACCTTGGGAGGTTCCAGGATCGATCCCGGGGGGGGGTAGGTGCTGCCAGGCTAGCGGTCCCTCTGGTTGAGCTATAGTCGACCTTCTCTCTTCAAACATTCGTTCAAACATTCGTTCAAACATTCGTTCAAACATTCGTTCAAACATACGTTCAAACATACGTTCAAACATACATCACCCGTGGCGTTATGAAGTAAGCAGCACCTTATGAGAGCGTTGTACCAGTAAAAGTCGCCGCCTTCAAGAACGCCTACTGATCAGTTCTGCTTCTTGTAGACTCTTTCCTTGGCAGCAGCTTCACTCGTTCGTGGTTCGTCTTTCCCACACTCTAATTATACACACACATGCACACATGTACATATGTATGTATTTACTTCGTTTTTTCTTGGGGGGAAAAGGAGCATTAGGGTGTTATGGGTTTTTGTCTTCTCCCCGGGCCCCCCTCCTTTCCGCGGACGTCCGCGCGTTTGGGGATTTGTCCATTACTGGGGTCGTGTTTCCAGCTCCCCATCATCGTAACCTCACAAGCCTTCACGAATTTTCCCCACCCGGCCGCACCTTCACCTTCAGCTCCTAACCCAAAACCCAAACCCTAATGCCGTACAGTCGCAACGAGGGACCTGGCATTACGTTGTCAGGTCGACAGTTGGATGTTGATCTGGCGGTTAGCGGGGAGGATGCCAGGAAGATAGCGGTGAGCGCGTATGTATGTATGTATGTATACATGTATTGGTGGTTGGGTGGTTGGGTGGGGGATTGTTGGGGTTGGGGTGGGGGATGAGGTCGGAAGGGTGGGGTTGGGGGGTGGGGGAGAGCCCGGGGGATGGAGGGGTGACGGAGCGCACGGGTATAGAGCACAGTGTGGTGACTTGCTGCGTTCGTCAACTCAGTGTTTTAGGGGTTTTCCATTTCCTTTTTCCCCCGGGACGTAGACTCTTTTTTTCCCGCTCCCCTCCTCCTTCCCCCTTCTTCGCCCCTTCAAAACACACACACACATACCATCAGACTGACCGAGTGGCCTCTAAGGCCGCTTCTAAGGACCGTCGTAACCTCTACCTGGCCAAGGAGGGGCACATTACGGAGGGCTCCCCCGCCTGGAACGGCATGTCCGTACACGACCAGTTGAGACAACGAGGGGAGAGGGGGGAGGGAGGAAATTGAGCAGGAAGGGAGGGGATAAAGGGGGAGTAACATGCCGCATAACTCCGTACGTGTTTCGTGTCTCTTGTAACCCCAGCTGTTGGACAGACAGCCGCAGCATAGAACAATACACACAGGAGCACATACATACATACATACATGCATACATAGATACAAGACATGAATACACACACACACACTCCTGGCGCGGCACGCATAACACGTCGCTGGAGACTAGGGAGCTCGCTTCGGTATGGAGTTATTCCCGTGTACCACCATTATCGGTATTGCCCTGATCGCGGCTCAGAAGGTCATTAACACACGCACACACACACATACATACACACACACACACACGCGCGCATGCAGGGCCAGGCGCAAGCGAGCCGCGGAGGAGAAAAACACGAAACTCCGGTCGCCCAATTTCGTCATCAGTCGTACACGTCTGTCAGTGCGAAACATCCCGCCAAACTGGACGGAAGGGCAGCTGAGGAAGATGTTTGCGGAGGCTGTACGACAGAGGGCCACGAAGGAGAATCCGCGTGTCGTACAGGTGCCGTTCACGGGGCCGATTGCTAACACTGTGGGATGCCTGTTGGAGTTTGGGGGGGAAGGTCTTGGGTTTTTGCTAGACATAAAGAAAAAGGCGAACGGGGTATGCAGTGCTCCGTGGAAGGAGGAGTGTGTTTTTCGCGTGAAGGTCCGCTTTCTCAGGTTTTAGGGGGTTAAGGGGTTTTTCTCTCTTCAGGGTTTAACAGTCACCGGGTTTAAAGGGTTTGTGGCAGATTTGTGTTTTGCCGTAATCGTCGGGTCAAAAGGGTTCACAGCAAATCGCAAAAGCCGAGGGGGGGAGAATCTTCGGTCTTGACAGAACGTCGTCTCGGGATTGACAGAGCGATGTACGATAGGCAGTAGCGGATTAACTGCCTTGCCGTTCGGTTTCGATCTGCCGTACAGGCCAAGATTCTACGGGAGCAGGACAGGTACGACGCCTCCGGCGCCCGTAAATCGAAGGTGGGTTTTAAACTTTTTAAAAAGTAAATAATGCATTTGCTGATCGTAGCAGATGTGCTTGTGAAGGGTACCGGCATGTTTAGGGGAGGGTCATAAGGACCTGTAAAACCTGTGGGGTCAGGACACGAAGTATATGCACAATAAGACATACGTACGTACGTAGTACACGCACATGCTCGCTCGCACGCGTGTGCGTGTGTGTTCATGCATCCTATCTTGCCGTACACATTTTCTGCCCATTTACGACAACCGCGGACTGGATTTGAAGACCGCGGACCGCGGACTCGCTGCCCCTTCCCGCCACAACACCGCCGCCAAGGATTACCACGCACCACCACCACCAACAACAACAACAACACAACTACACCACCATTTCATGTATTATTCTGCTGAAGAAGAAATCATTGACCGGATCGACCGAATTATCTGGGACCCAGCTGAAGCTTGCGTTACAAGATTACAAGATAAAACACATCTTCTTCCCCTTTCCCCTTTCCCCTGGCCTTTGGGTGCACTGCCTTCTGTTACCTCTGTATGTGTGTTTTGCTTTCTCTGTCTGTATGTCTGTATATCTCTCTGTGTTATTCTATGTATGTATGTATGTATGTATGTATGTATGCATGTATGTATGTATGTATGTATGTCCGCGTGTAGGGTTTGGGTTTTGTTGAGTTTGAGAGCCACGACCACGCCCTCGCGGCTCTCCGTCAGCTGAACAACAACCCAGGGACTCCGTGGGGCCGGGAGCGGAGACCCATCGTGGAGTTTGCAATCGACAACGTTAAGGTGGGATTTAGGGTTTTGGTTTGAACAAGAAACGTTCCGGTTTTTGGGGGGGTTTGGGGGTTCGGAGGGAGGGGGTTAAGAGGAGGTTTTTTTTGGCCGGGTTCCGGTGCCGGGCGGGGGAGGGGAGTGTTGTTGAGGGGGGGGGGGTGCCGGATTGCGGTAAGGCGGTAGGGGGAGTGGGTTTGGGAGTCGGTTGGTTGGTTGGTTGGTTGGTTGGTTGGTTGGTACGCCATTTGGTTGTGCTGCGCGGATATGCTGTCAGCTGTCAAAGTCCTCTTGCACTTTTCCTTGTTGCAAATTTGGTGATTGTAATGACGATTGTGATTGTGATTGTGGTGGTGATATGATGTTGGCGGTGGTGGTGGGATCCAGGTTCTCAAGAAGATCGAGCACTTGAGGGAAAAGACCAAGGCCCGGCAGCAGCAGCAGCAGGGGCAGCAGGAGAACGGAGACATGGCCAACGGCGGCGGCGGAAGAAGCGACAGAAGCGGCAGCAGAGGAAAAAAGGGTCTCGAAGGAAAGGGGGCGCCGGCTCGTGCCGGGGTGGTGGAGGAGGAGGAGGAGGGGGGGGCGGATACACAGCCGACGGTAGCGGCGGACAAGAAGGGCAAGAAGGGCAAGAAGGCAAAGACTACGGGGGCGGCCAGAGGGGAGGAGGAGGAAGCGGAGGAGGAGGCGGACGCTGACGGCGGCGCGGGTGGGGACGGTACGGCACTATCGCAGCGGCAGCGGAAACGCCAGCGGCAGAAGGAGCGCGTGGAGCGCAAGAAGGCGCTGCTCAAGGTGCGGCTCCTCGAGAGCGGCCTGTACGGAATACGGAATGCTTAGGTTGGGGACCGGCCCGTCGTACAGGAAAACGAACAAGCCCTTTTTAGAGCGGCGACTTCTCGGTGCACTTAGCCTGAGTGCATATTCTTAAGTGCTAAGTGTGCGTGCACACTCCTACTCCTATCCTGCTTTTCTGTCTGTCCGTCGGTCGATTCCTCCAATGCTTAGCTTACCACATGTCATCCTCACCTTTCACCACCTGGGCGCGTACCTCGCAACTGCCCCCGCTTTGTTGCGCCCCCCTGCTCCCGCTTTCCGTACACCGTACGTGTCGTACAATGTCCGTACTACTGCCTGCCTGAACCTCCCGCAGGAGGGCGGCGTGCAGGCGCTCGTGGAGGCGGTGGAGGTGGACCGGAAACAGCGCCAGCAGGCGGGTGATGGGTGGGCGTATGTGGGGGTGTATGTGTATTGTATCCCCCTCTCACTCACTCCTTACTGCCCGGCATTCCCTCTGTCTTACTTTTGTCCTTCTGGTCGGCCCCTCCGCGTGGCGGGTTTTCCTGGGGAAATACACGCACGCGCACACGCACGCACACCAACATACACGAACACACACGTAGGGTGGTGGTGCTGCTGTCGGAGGAGGTGGAGGGAAAGGCCAGACTGCCAAAGGGAGCCAGCCCAGGAAAGTGACCCCGTCCCAGCAGCAGCAGCAGCAGCGGCACCAACCGCAGCAGCGGAAGCGGAAGGCTGAAGAAGAGGATCTCGATCGCATCGCGCGAGAAGGCCTGGCGGCGGAGGCGGCGGCGCGAGGTACGGCAATCGGAAAACACAGGAGTGGCACGTGGGGCTGGGGGGACACGGCTGACCTTTTTTTCCCGATTGGAATGATGGATTGATGGTGTGGGGTAGGGGGTGAATGGGGTGGTAGGGGGTAAACTGGACACGGGGTGTAATGTGAGTACGCGTCGCCCTGTCGATTGTGATTTTCTCTTTATGTACTTGTTATGTGTAGTTGTTCTCGTTATGTAGGATTGGTTTGTTCTGCAGACTATTGTTATCAAAGTTTTCGGCATTTTATCGACGATAACTCTGATTCTCATTTTCACGTGTGCTTGGCGCTTTGAATGTCCGCGGCTGCCGGACTTTGCTAACTCTTTGTGCCCTTCGCAACGGTTTTTGCACCGTGTTTTTTTCGGTGTGTCTTTTGACTGTTAGATTCGTTGCTCTACCTACGCTTCCGTTCATCGTTCATCCTATCCTACAGGGGGTGATGCCGCCGCCAAGCGCCGGCGACGTGGTGGCAAGGTCGCGGGTGAGGAGGGCGAGGGCGGCGGCGACCGCTTAGATCGCTTGGTGGAACAATACCGCGCAAAGCTGTCGGGCGAGCGGCCCAAGACGAAAATTTCAGATTCAAATTCAAATGCCTCGAAAGCGGGCGGCAGAGGAGGCGGTAGGGGGGGAAAAAAAGGCGGCCCCAAAGGCAGCGGCAAAGGCGACACGGCAAAGGCGGCAAAGGGTTCCGGAGCCAAGGCCGGCGGTGGCAGGGGCGATGGGAGCTCTGGAAATGTGGCCGCGTTGGTTGCGGGAGCGGCGTCTGGGGGCCTGCGCCGCTGGTTCGATGGGTAATATAGTGATGATGAGGATGAGGATGATGGCGCCACGCTGTGGACGAGTGGGGGCGTGTTCGGTTTCGGAGCGGTTTACAGCGCCGTCTTGCCACCTGAGCAACAGTATGTCTCTTTTATACATTTCTCTGCTTGGTTGGTAGTTGGTTCGGAAGATGGTTGTATGGAGAAGTTGGCCAACTGTCCAGGGTAGAGACGTTTTTGCGGTGGTGGGGTTGTTCGTCCTTTGTATCTATCATTTCACATCATGGCCAACAGCTAATGGTTTGTAGATGTTGATACTTCCATCTTGGGAATAGAATTGTATTACTTTCACTTGGCGTACACACACACGCGCGACAAATCTGATAAGTTTTCTATGCCGTAGAAGGTTGAAGAACCCAATGAGCAGGGAAATGAGCTGTCGCCGTTGCTGCTTTTCAGCCGAGGTTTCTAAGCTTCACCGGACAGGCATTTCGGATTCCAAGGCCTCTGCCCACCTGTGAAAGCACGCATGTCTGTTGTGCATTTAGATGGCTAACCCAAAACGGGAATAACGGAACTCAAAACAGAGACATCCATCACCCTTTGCCAGCAACCGCTTTCAATTATTTTAAAGCATTGTCTCACCGTTTTAAGAGAGCTGTCGGATACAGAACACGCGGAAATGCCGCCATCCCCCCTGTGTCCAATAACACCGCATCTCGCCCCCTGACATGGCAAGACCTGGCCCGGCGACCGTCGTCCAGGGTGTGCCGTACAGCACGTGGCGTGCCGTACGGCGCTATAAAACTTCTTGACTGCTGAGGCCAAAGGGAGCACAACACCGGTGCCTATGCCGTTCGCCCAGAAGCCTTCTAAAAACCACCTCATCAATCCTCCATTACTCCCACTCCTCCCGACAGGCGTCTTGAGCAGACCCCCATCATCCCTGTCACCGTCTTCAACCTGCCACCGCTCCCATTGCCAGCCCTCAATCCGCCTCCATGGGCGCCGGCCCCTCGTCCTCCCGCCGTTCATCCCCCTCGGCTGCGGCTGCCTCTGCAGCCGGAGGGGCCTCTGGCGCCTCGCCGCCCTCCGGTGCCGCCTCGGCCTCCGCCTGCATGGGCTCGTCCTCCTTGAGCGCCGTAATGTACGGCTCTACCGCCTGATCCTCCAAAACTGTAAAGCTTAGGTCCTTTCCAACCACCGCAACGCTGCAATTCGCGTCCGTGAGCTCGCCCTCGCTGAGACTGGCTTGCAGAGCGCGCAGGCTGTGCTGTACCAGCTCGTCCAAATTTGCTCCAGGGAAGGTCTCAAAATGCTTCTCAAGATACGTCTTGGCGGCCTGTCGGGTACCCCAGCACCAGAAGATAAAAATCCACACTCCCTTAAATTGCAACGCCAAACATTTCCCGCACCAACAATCCGACCCCGACCCCGATTCCGACCTCAATGAGACAAACAAACAGACCGGCGCCGCAAAATACGCACGGGCTTAGCCACTGACCTGCGACCGGGAACCGATGGCCATGGCCTTGTACTCGTAGTAATTCCCAGAGGGGCATGTGGAATACAGGTGCGGGCCCTGGGAGTCCACTCCCGCCACCAGCAGTCCCACACCGTAGGGCCGCTTCCAGGACCGCTGAGTGCACACCTGCGCCTTGTCCGCCACCAGACGAACCAGCCGCCCCACGGGCATGGAGCTCTCGTACACGTACCTGTATACATACATGCGCGCGATGAGTGCGGCGAGATTGTAAAAAAACAAAAACAGAGGGGGAAGGCGGGTGGTACGGAATGAAAAGTACGGCATGTACGGCCGGGGTATGAACTCGAGGATAAGATGTAGCTCGGAGTTGGCAAAGGTTTGCCCAAGGTTCCTGGCTATAGCTGTATCTCTTTCATTCACGAAATTTCAAAACTAGGTGGCGAACCCCACCACCCCGCACCTGCTGAGACCCACTCAGAAACTGACACATCCACACCCATACACGCATGCATGCTCTAAACCCTGAAAAAAAGCCAAACCCACATAGAAATGGACCGCACGCACACATACGTACCTGTGGTTGATGCACTCGTTGCGCATGTACTTGCACAGCGACCGGCCATCACCCGTCAGACCCGCGATGGCAATTCCAAGGTGGTCGTCAATTTTGAACACCTTGCGCTGAAAAGACGACAGCTCCGACTGGGAGCGCTTCAAGGTGGCCAGTACGACATGGGTATCGCTCTGTACGGAAGGTTGTGTGTATTGGGGGATAGTTATACGCCGGCGTTAAAGAAACAACTGTTGCCGATGGCCCGAGTCACAGCCCCCTCCCCCCCCTTGAACCCGTTGTTCACGAGGGGCATCACTTGCATTACTGTTTTGCTTTGGACCATCGCTGTGAAATGAAAATCCTTGACGAGGGGTCCTTGAGGCTGCAGCCCGCTTCGTGGATAAACCCGGTGCTGTCGTCATTTCCCAAGTTTTTCCCGTGGGGACGCAATCGGGTAGGAGGGCCTCACCTTAAGGCCGACTGTACAGCTGCCTTGCTTTACAGCCTCCATGGCGTACTCGACCTGGAAGAGGCGTCCTTGCGGACTCCATGTCGTGACGTCGGTATCATACTGCGGTTGGAGTGGAGTGGCATCGCGTGAGGCACATCAACGTAAGCAGCAAACAGGCTATTGATCAGGCTTATAATCATGCCCATGCACACCTGGTTCCTAAACATTGTTGCTAGCCTACGGGCGCAGTGCGCGCCCAGTGGGAGCCCAGATCTCCAAGGCTAAGTCCGGGGACAAAAGAGGAGCAGTACAAATAACTTCCAGATGGTGCTATGTTTGAGAAAAACTCGTCCAATACCGATAGCGACTTGGTGCGTCACGAACACTATTCTTCAATGTATTTGTACGGCATCGCTGAAAATAATGTCACGACTTGGCATTTCCTGAACACCTTGCGTGAAGTTTCTCTGTGTTCTTCCATTGCTTGTCCTTCCTTAAGGTCCGGCAGAAAGTTCTAGCCGGCCCCAGCCTAGCCTGCCATCAGTGTCCATTTCCGAGACACCTGTTCATTAGGTCCCAGGAACCTTGACTATGGGCAACAACTTCTCTGTTCGCGCTGATGCTGAGCCTCAGGTGGTTGAGGTGCGCAAATGGAATTGGCGTGCTGTTTCGGCATAGGCCCTCATGCGGAGGGTTAGTTATTGCAGGAGGAGCCCGTCGCCCCTCCGCCTCCGCCTCCACCCAAGAAGGCAAATGCCAAGCTGGTGACGCTTGAGGTGCGGCCGTCTGATTTGCTACTAGCCGCAAGCTTCCTTTCTTGACGGGGCTGGCCCTAAACCGCAGTCGCTCTCACCAGAGGAGCTTGAGGAGCTCAAGAGTGAAGTTGTCTCGGACATCGTGACCAAGCTTGCCGGCGAGGTATGGAAGCATGCTCCTTTGGGACCGGTATGTCGGTACAATCAACACTTTTGGTACTTCTCCGCAGGACGGCGAAAAGCTCCAGGACCTGCTGGAGCCGGAGGTATGTAGGAAACTCAGCATCCTATTCCGCATGGCCATCCGTCTATGGGATTGGAGCTGACCCCGCGGTCGTCATTCACTTGCAGATTATCACCGCGCCCTACGACCCGCGCTTTCCGAATCGCAATCAGGCTCGGCATTGCTTTGTGCGCTTCAATGAGTACTACAAGTGGGTAATTTTCTAACGCCGCTCCGGGGACTTGCTGACACCGGGTTTGGTGACTCGATACATTCATCCTCCTGACAGGTGCATCTACGAGCGTGGCGAGGACCACCCTCGCTGCCAGTTTTACCAGAAGGCTTACCAGTCTCTATGCCCAAGCGAATGGGTGAGTGTAGGGTGCGCATTGGATGTCCAAGAGTGTGGGAGTCTTCCCCCTGCTGATTCGTGTATCCCATCCTACCTGGTTCCGTTCGCTGATTTCCCCCTTGTCATTCTGCTTTTGCCCTGTTAACTGCGGTGCATGCTGCTCATGTCACAGCTTGAGAGCTGGCAGGAGCTGCGGGAGAAGGGTCTGTGGACCGGCAAATACTGAGCGGAGTACGTCGTCACGCAGTTCCGTCGTTTATGATGGAGACTGGATTGGATTGGATTGGATTGGGGCCTTCGTGGTGCTGAGGCCGTGGGCGCCATCTATTCCACAGCTTAGCAACATTCCAGATGCTAGATGCGGCTTGCGGGGGACTCTAAACATGGCCGGAGGAGATGTCGGTATACTCTTGGCGTGGCTGGTGCTTGGCATGGCCATGGGGCGCAGGGATTCAGGGGAGGGGAGAGATGCTTGTTACCGGGATGAATGTGATGTACCAGTACGGCGTTCTGGGTCGTGCCGTGTCGCAAAGGTAAACGCTGCGCGCGAATGTAGTATTTAGATTTATTGTTGTATGAAGGACCGGACGGTCTCGTGGCAGACGCTGTAACTTGAAGTGAACTTGGTGCGAGGTTGGGGCCCCAAATGTTGCTCCGACCACACCGCGTTATGGATATAATGGCCTATCAGCCAGGGTCACATGTTCCACAGTGCGCAAGGAAGCTTAGTCATAGCGTAGTTGTATCACGCAGAGACGGACGCCTTCTCGTGCCAGCCAGGGCTCGGCCTGAATCGCAATTACTTTCTGGGAAGGCTAACCCCGAAAAAACATTGGCAAATTTCGATATGGAGGTACCCCTTTTGTGAGCTCGAAATTTTAACGAGGATTGGGTGTGATGGCTCCATCAAAACTGTCCGCCAACGGCTTGCAGGGCAAAATGGCATTCCTTCGCGAGGACCTAAAACATTTGTTTGACGACAAAGGCATAGACGCCTCTGCGTAAGTTGGCAACTTCCTTTCTGTGGTATACACATTCGTCTATACAGGCAAGCTCGGCACATCATAACCCTTTAAGCTCTTCCTCTCTAGGATAAGATGCCTCGCACGTGTCTGATTGCAAGATGCATTTACTTTTTGGAGCAACCTTGTACCTTCTGCAAGTCCACAGGCATGCCATGCCACAGAGGAAAGGCTAAAAACACGCCTTGCCACAAACTGATCTTCCTAGCCTCATTGTGCAAAGTCCTCTGGCATTTTCTATCTCCGTTGTGCTACACACCAGCCCCCGTCAGGGTTTTCTTTATCTGTTCTGTCGTACGTCCTGCCGTACAGGGCCGCTTGACCTTATTCCCCTCTAAATCTTTCTTCCCATCTCTCGTCCTTTTCCCCATGAACGTGAACCCCCTCCCCCTCCGTTCAAATCCATCAGCTACGAGGCAGTGGTGGACTTCCGCGACCCCATCACGCGCTACTCCTCTCTGTCCGGCTACCTCTTCAACATCGCCTTTCTGCGTGCCGCCTTCGACCCACGGTTCACCCTGCACGACATGCGGCCTTCATTGGACGAGCCGTACGGCATCACCACCCGCTGGACCATGTCCATGCGCTTCACACCCGCGGCTGTGCTGCCCACCCGCACGTACTGGAACCCCACCATCACCTTCACCGGTAGGGCCTGTGGGGACATGGCCGTGTACCGGGGGTATCGCTCCCATACGTATGGGGTGGGGGCCCAAACACGTGATCGCGCGGCGACCGGTCTCGGGCCGATTCGGTCTTTATCCTACCTCCCTTCTCCTCGCCTTTTGTGTGTCTACTCCCCTTTGCTCTTAACTCTTTTCCTACGGCCCCCCCCCTTGAATTGAGTTATAATTGCATGTTGCATCATGCACTTTCTCCGCCTTTCCCAACCCCCGCAAGCGCCTGAGCAACCACACCGCCCGTCCTCCCAGCTTGCCCTGGAGGCCCTGGTCCTGGTGCTGGTCGGGATTTGCTCTCCTTATAACACCTCCCTCCCCCACCCCACCCCCAGCCAAATCACTTACCTATCGCCCCAACCCCCCTCCGTGCCCATCCAGGCACCTCCACATACGTCTTCAACCCCCTCAGCGGCAAGATCTTCAGGCACATCGATACATGGGACTCCATTTCAAACCAGGTCTCGGCAGTTGGTGGTTGATAGTTGGTAGTCGGTTGGGTTGGCGAGTGAATGAGTGAGTGGATATCCGGAGGGTTATGATGCGGGGTGGGCCAGGTCGGAGCACGGGACGGGGAGGAGACGTGTTTTCCTGACACGGAGGGGTTGGGAGGGTTTAGTGGAGGGTTTTAGAGCTGCGGGCGGGGGTGGGGGGCCTGAGGACCCTATGTATCCATCTATTATCTATTCACCTAGCTAGCTAGTTAGCTAGCTCCTCGTCGCACACTCCGTGGACAGCTCTACCAACGCGTCAAGATTTAAACGCAGCGTATTTCTGAATGCGGCACATCGAATGGTCATTACCCCTCCTCCATCCCGCACTCCCGAGAGAAACCCGTACTCCAGTCGGCCCCTAGTGTAGGGCCTTTTTCCATGGGCGGTGTTGGCCATCTAGTCGCTTGATGTGGCCCATCCCCCGTTGTTGTTCCTCGTTTCCTGTTGTGTTGTGCGCGTTTTGCATACTGTATACGGCAAATATTGGGCTTTGTACGACATATCGGAAGGAGTTTTTTTCGGTGGAAGGTTTCATTGACTTTTTCAAGCAGCTGCTGTCATTCTACACCACCCCTGATCTTGAGACACCGGAGTATGCCGTGCTCAGGTGCGTCGTGTGTGTGCATGCATGTTTGTGTGTATGTATGTATGTTACAGGGTGGTATAGCTTCACCAGCGGCCCCCTTTCCCTTGGAGGCAGTTCCCTGCTCTCCCCTGCGAGAGGGGCACCCTAATCCATTCACCCCATCCGACTTCAGAATGTATTCGTTGGGTTCAGCAACTTTCACCACCAGCATCCAACCAAATCTAGCGGATCAACGGCGCCTCAACTAGTTCCAACTGTTTGTGTGTATGTATGTATGTATGTATGTATGTATGTATGTATGTATGTATGTATATCCGGAACCATCTAACCGTTAGTTCCCCCCATCCTCCCTCCCTCCCCTTGGCGACAGACGCAACCGCGACTACGAGGTACGACGGTACCAGCCGTACACGACAGTTGAGACGACGATGGAGGCGGCGAGTGCGGTGGACCAGGAGGCGCTTCAGAGCGGCAAGGTGGGATGAGGGCGGGAGCGGATGGGGGGAAAATGGAAGAGAGGAGTTCAAGTAATGGACAATTACGAAGGAGGAAGAGAGAGAGGAAAGGTTGTTGTTGGGAGCCTTATTTGCGCGTAACCTTTGCTTTCCTGCCTTACCAGGCCCTTCCCCCCACACCCACACTCCACCACATATAATACTGTTTTACCCTGCTTTTCGTCCCCCCTTCCCCCTCCACCTTCCCTCCACCTTCCCCTCCACCTCCCGTTTCTCTTCTTTACCCACTGCGAATCCTTCCTCCCCCCTTTCACTTGCCATCCTACTTCTAAAACCCTCCACATGCATTGCGACACGGTACGGTACGGTACGACGATGTTCCTTCATCCTTGGCCCTACCGCCGTACGGCAGGTTTCTGTCAACCCCGCTGGCCCCGGCTTCCTGGGTATCGGCGCCCTGGCTCGTTACATCCGGGGGGATAACGATCAGGCCGCTCAGCTGGCCATTACCACCCCCTTGCTGAGCGACTCCAGGGGAAGGATCCGTTTTGTGATTGGCGAGTCAGATTTGAAGGTACGGAGTGGGATTTGGGGGGAAAGGTGGGGGGGAGGCGAGGGAAAGTGTTGGAGGAAATGCGCATGTGCCGTACGTAAAACAAATGCCGCTATTTGCGGCTGCCGCAATTTTCCTAATTACATAGCTCGCACTTGTTTCCTAACCTGAGACACGGTGTTTTTTCTCCCCCTTCCCCCCACTCCTTTCCCGAGCAGTCGTTTCCCTCCCTGCCGCAATCCAGTAATCCCTCCGTGTCGCTGGTTAGACAGGAGGGGGGGGTGGTTGCCGCACGGACGTTCGGTGGCTTTTCAACAGAGGAAGAGGCGGCCAGGCAATTGGACGAGCTCAGGTGGGACGAGCAGTGCCACAAGGCCGGCTCTTCTAGGTGCACATGCATGCATATACATGTTGCCACATACATATGTATATACATGTACGTATGTGTATATGCATATGTATTTTGTTTGTGTATTCCTCCCTCCGCCCCCCTCCACTTCACTTGCCTGTGGTTCCCCCCTCCGCCCCCCCCCAGGGCCTCCCTGGAGCGAGACGGTCTCAAACCCGCCGGCCAAACATGGACCCTGGCCCGCTATAACGACCCCGCCACTCCGGGGCCCTTCCGGCGCAATGAGGTGCTACTGCCACTGAGAGATTTCGACATCTGGCAGTAGCAGGGCAGTAGGGTAGTAGGCGTTAGGAGCTCGGTGCCAGGGATGGCTGATGGCAGTGAGATTTGGATTTAGTACATGCCGCTTGATATAATATTTGTGAAAGTGCGTGTTGTTGGATGGGCAGTAGCGGTGTATGTCATGTTACGGATTGCCGCATCACGAGAAGGCTAACTGTTCAGTAAACAATGATTATGCTATGGCGGCTGCTTGCTTGCGACGATCCAAACAGGTCTACGCCGCCGTAGCAAGTCTGCCGACCTTTGTTGTTTGAGAATTTCATTGACGAGTGTGTACTCCAAACGTGGCGGCGTTCTTCTTGTGCTTGCACTCCTATGCCGTACGGACTGCCCTGCGAATCAACGGGGGGTCAACTGGCTGCACCGGGGCCGAGCCCCTTTTTGGCTTTGAAAAGCCGCCCCCCTAGTCGGGCTCAAGTATGGGCCATATCCGTTTGCCTCTTATCGTTTGCGGAAGCTGACAATCCACCGTCTCAATGCTAAGTGCCGTGCCCTGGTCGCCAGTATGCCTGCCTGTCGTGTAGGTTGTATGCATGCTCGTGTTGCAGCGGCCTCCATGGCAGGAGTGTGCCGGGTTGACAGTGACTGGATGCTTGCACAGCCTCCAGTTTCTTGAGTTCGGTCGTTTCATTATCTTCGTTGTCGATCCAATGCCCCACCAGAGGCCATTACTCCTCATCATGCCGTGGAGCTTGATGTCGGCCCTTGTGTCTGTGTGCACCTGTGGATTGGCTCAAGTCGACCCGGGTGCCCAACCGATTGCTCAAAGCAGAGCTACCATCACCATCACGAGGTTCTCCATTCTTATGTTCCTTCGAGTTCTCATATGTGCTCCTGTTGTGCAGTAGATGCAATCATTCTGGTGCTCACACAGTGATGTGTTTCATTTTGAACCATGCTCTGCTGTCTTAAGGTTGTCTTTGCTGGAACATCTTGCCTTACGTGGTTAGCTGTCTGCAGTCCATATGTAGTCATGCCTTAGCGTTGTACCTGGGTGCATTTGCCTGAGCATCCCCACTGTTGTGATGTAAGCAGTTTTGTTGCAGTATGCAAGAGAACCTCGTGCTTGCAACTGTAATGGCAACGCGGACATTGCAGCTTTGAAAGACTAGGGAAGTGTAGGGAATTAGTGTTCGTTACCGAGTAGGTTTGGTTTAACTTTGATCAGTACGACCTTCTGTTGTGGCAGGCCTATGTTGCCAGACTATTTAAAGCATCCCTATACCATTACTTGTAAGCTTCGTACTCTTCTCTTCCTTGTCTCTCAGCTAGCGTCTGCAGACTGGGCAAGCTAGGAAGTAATTAGGGTTTTTAACTTCCCTATATGTAAATTTTATCTCAACTAAACTTCCTTAGAAACTAATTAGGTTTAGTTGAGAAGTTTAGAAATCTCAACTAAGGTTTCGGCTACTTTCTGGCGGAAGGGTCGTTTAGGCTGAAACTTAGGAATTAGAATCCCCATTTGCTGCTTATTAACGATAATTCAATAGTTTTGCGCTGCGTTGAGTGTGCGCAGCGAAAGGTGCTCAGTTGGCACACGGGGCAAGGGACCCACGGGACACCACCGCCTGCAAGCCACTGCACACCCATGGAAACGAGCATTATATAGCAAGTAGCAAGCCCCTAAACACTCCAAAGAACACAGCGATTGGCAAACTGCTGAACTGCACACCACGACACCAGGCACCACGTGCCAGTCGGTGTACCCCGCCGCCCATTACACACGCGCGCTCTTCTCATCCTCTGCAGCCAGCAGAGTCATCACCACCTCCTCGTCTGACAGGCGGCTGCCCTTGCCCTTGTTGGAGTCGTCGTTCTGGCGAATGTAGATGAGCTTCTTCGCCCGCTCCTGCGACAGGCGGTTGCGAGCCTTGCTGAAAATGTTGCCCCACAGCGACCAGTTGAACTCAGCAGCGCAGGTGGTCGTGTGCATGCGCAGTACACGGTCCGCCACGTTTGCCAGTGCTGGGTACTGCACGGACATGTGCTGCGACCAGAACATTAGCCGCGCTTCAATGCCCGCGATCTGCACTGACACTGTGGTGGAATTGCCGGCCTTGCTCTCCACAGTCTTGCGCGCGGTCAGCACCTCCATGTGCTCCTTGCAGTCGTCGGGGACGCCCATTAGGGCGAGCGTGCCCCACTAAGAAGCATCTCCTGAAACACAGCAGGCGTTGGAGAAGGAGGTGAAACACAACAGCCTGTTTAAAACACGATGCAATCTCACGTGCTGTCAGCAGCTAGATAGGATTGATGGCGTTCACCAAGAACAACACGAACAATGCAGCCAGTGCTGCAAACACACCTTGTCCGCCCGCCGGTCCTCTTCCGTTGCACCCTCGCCGTTGCCCGCATACACCTCAGCCGCCAGCTTACGGGCGTCCTCCCGCTCCTCCTTGCTGAGCTCGTGGCCGAGTACTCCTTTGAAATTCCCTGGCCGAGTACTCCTTGCCATTGTAGGTGTAAGTATCGCGCTTGCCCTTCGGCGGCTTGCCAGAGGCTTCACCGACGTCAGCCATTGGGAATGTAACTCAGTAACTATTGGATGAGTCCTCAGACAGCTTCATCTACAGTTTCTCAGGACTACCTAAAGTCGCTCCTCAGGTTTCGGAGCTGCCGTACAACTAAGGCGCCAAAAAATTCCATCTAATATCTCAGTTTAGTTTCTAAAGTTTCTCATCTAAGTTTAGAAGTTTAGGTTTAGATGACTTCCAACCCTAGAAGTAATGCTTCCTCCAGTCGCCAACTGGAGCCGGTTCCTACACACATAGTTCGAAGACATACGAAGAGAACGGTGACCGCAAGGTGAACACTAGTATAGACCTCCTAGGAGGTCTATAAAGTGAAGCAGACATGTCAGTTAGTTTCAACCAACGTGAGTTTGTCGCAAACCATCCAATTCTTGATGAACACCCAAGCAGCCCATTTGTGACCCTGACATGAAAACCAAAACAAAACTTAACAGGAACTCACTTTTTATTTGGTGATGGACATCCATTGGTCATGGGGTCCGGCTGCTGCTCGAAACAGCTTCAAGACACTGCTCTGTTTTCTCCTCGACACTAAAATACATATGCTTTGAAACACAGGTAGCAAACGGCGAAGAACAATTATATATTACAGCGCTCATCATGCTTGTGTGCAACATCACCGGACTGTAACCCTTGAAGCCTGTGAATAGCATACATGTCACTTCGGTTGGTCAGGTTGAGGAAACTCCTGAGCACTTCCCCTGTTGCATAGCCAAGTCTTTAAAAACCCTACCACCGATCTACCTACCTACCTAACTGCCCGCCTACCTACCTACCTACATACCTACATACCTGGCTGGGCCATTTTCACGGGTTGAGACTTAGGTGAGAGCTGATAGGTGGTAGGTAGGTGGCTAATAGGGAGGAGGTTGTAAAAACATCCTAACACCCCCTGCAAACTTCGTCCTGCTACCATACTTGCCAACACCCCCCCACACACATCCCCACACCTCGTGCACCATGCCATCCGGGAGGGGTACAGTGCGGATGGGAAGGGAAGGGGGAAGGGCTGATGCGGGTGAGGATGCCCCGCCAGAGAAGCCAACGGACGAGGGACTGTGAGAGAATGGCGACAGACGGGACAGACAGAAGGAGAGTGGGGAGTGAGAGGGTCCTTGAGTACTCTTCCAGCAGGACGCGGAAGAGGTATATGTCGTTTACAGCTGTCCTGGTGCGGAGATGGTGATGGTGGTAGGGTTTGGGAGGGTTTGACAGAGGGGATATATCCTCTGGTCTGCTCTGCTCTTCTCTGCGCGAGGGTGCGTAGTGAAGTAGTAGCAGCCTGCACAGGCAGGCCGCCAGCGTAGCTGTTTGCTTGGGTACTGGGTCAAGGGCCAGAAGAGCTAGCAATATTACGAAGGTTTAGGAAGGCCATGCTGCGCAGCATGTCCCGTCCTGGGCTCGAGGTGGCGGAGGGCTGCGAGTAGGAGGGATCCTCGTTTACATGTAAACTTCATGTGGCCACTTCAGCAAAAGGTATTGGCTTAAACTTGCCCGAGCGCAGGCATAACGCAGTGTACAATCTATATTTCATAGTACACATTCTTATTCCTCGGTAAGTTGTTATCGTCGTACGACTAATCTATGGACATGCCGTCACTTGCAGATTATCCCTACTTGCAATAAAAATTGGAGAAAATAAGTAGCCAGAGAGCCCTGGCAACTTTAACTGTCCTTGTTATTTTGTGCTATCTACTCGTAACAGTTGACGCCAGGGTCACGTTGTCAGTGGCAGACGACCAGGCAGCGGGACGAGTGCATTTCAGCCTTTCAGATTTCGTTCTGTACCTGGGAAACTGTAGATGGCGACTAGCTGCATTATCTCGCAACCTTCAAGTTCTTAGCTTTCGCTACGCAAACGTCAGTTTCTGTGCAGCTGTTAAAGGGCACAGATGAAATTTGCTTCCAGATGTATACTGGCAAAGAGGGCCTCGCAACATGCTCGGGAAGAATGCGAGCAGGTTTCCGGAAGCGAAGCACCAGTCTACAACATCTTAGGCCTACCTGCTGACATCCTTGAGCATATCTGCCATTACCTTAACGTACGAGACGTAATAGCGCTTTCTCGAACATGCAAGCTTTGGGGAGGTGTTGCGTCGTCACCTCGCGTCTGGGCAGGCCTCGTGCAGCGTTCATTTTTGTTTGAGGAGCTGCCTCAAGGTAAGCGTAAGGCTGAAAGATTGCTATGCATAATCAGGGCTATTATGGCGATGCCTGTAGCATTGGGCGTTTTCAACCCTGGCGCACCGATTTCCGACTGCTTGCAGACCTCGAGTTCCTAAGCTCACTAGATACGCAGCATATCCGAGCCCAGTTCTGGCAACTCACTCGGCAACGCCCAGCGTTTCTTTCCGATGCACCGCGCACGTCGGAGATTCTTGAACGCACGGGGTCCCGTTTTCGAAAGGTGGGGTGGCCGCGGTAAAGCAGCGCGGCGGCAAGGCCTCGCCAACGGCGCAGTTCGCCTGCAGATATTCCTCATTTATTCCCCATGCTAAATCACTTGATCTGCTATGCTTTTCATCCCAAATAATAAACACTTCCCTATCATGGCCCAGCCAAGACCGCCCTCGTTAAGTCCACGACGAAACATTTAAACGAACCTACCTCACTCGCTCAACCCTTCCCAAACTGTAAAACCCTCACACTCTCACCCGCAGCAACTCCGTTCCGCTATCCCTTCCGCGCTCGTGCGTTGGGGTTTGCCCACGTCTGGCTTGCTTCCGTTATTTCCCGCCCAACTCCCATTCCCCTATCACTCATCTCCCCCTCCTCCCCCTCCTCCCCCTCCTCCCTTTTTTTCTCCCACATCCCTCTTTCTCTCCTTCCAGATTCTTCACCTAGACGGCCGACGCGATTTTAACTTCACCACCGTCTTCCGCGACGTCCCCCCCGGACATTACTACGTCATATGGCGTGTCATGCTACAGCCGGGTTATGTGCGAGGCTACTGCAACTTCCGAGCCGTCTTTAGTCGCCCATCCGACCCTAAAGCAGTTGCTACTGCCGCCGCCGCCGCAACCGCCGCTGTAGCGGGCCCAGCCAAGCATCTTTGCAAGCTCCCGCACAAGTCAATCGCTACCGCCGCCGCCGTCGCTGCTACAGCCGTCAAGCACCGACTGCTACTGCCCCTCCGTCGGAAGAGGCAAGATCGGCGACGGCGAGCGCAGGAGGACGGCCAGTCAGGTCTGTTAGCCGGGACGGACGTGGAGAGGGCGGGGGGTATGGAGGGGGTGGAACAGGAGCAGGAGATCCAGGACGATGGGTCGGGAGGTGTGAGGGGCCGCAAGACAGCGAGGGCGTTGCTGCTCCGGCTGTGGCCGAATGGGGCTTGGGGCTGCGGACGACTGCGAGGCGGCGTCAGCTCCGCTGCGGTCGCGCCGATGGTGGGAAGGGACGAGGACAGCGCCGCGACAGCGGCGGCAGCGGCCATGGTGCTCATGCAGCATCGCAACCATCAGCATCACCAGCATCAGCATCATCACCTTCAGCCCGGACAGCAGGAGCTGCAACAGCCACAGCAGCAGCAGCAGCCAAGGGGCCAGGCGGGTCAAGAGGCCCATAATGCCCCAAACCACCTTTACCACCGCTACAATAATAACAACAACAATAACGACTATCCCGAAATCGAGCCGGAGACTGTGGCGCCAGAAGGGAATCCGCAGGAGCAGCTACCCCCGCCGCCGCCGCCGCCAGTCCGGTTATCTACTGTCGCCGCCGCCGCAGCAGCAGCAGCAGCAGCAGCCGGCCCCACCGCTGCCGCTGGCGGTCCTGGCGGCGGCCCTCAAGCGCAGCTCCTTCACCGCGCCATGGGCCACCTGGCCGCTGCCTCCACCAAACGCGACGCCGCCTTGGCGAGTGGCGGCGGCGGCGGTCCTCGCTACGTGTCGCGGTGGATGGCGCCGCTTTGGGGCAGCCATACCAATGCCTGGCGGCAGCTGGATCCCGCGGGACCGCTGGGGTGCGGCGACTGGCGCAGCCTGCAGATGGGCACGTTGACGCTGCGGAGGCGCGCGGACGCCCACTTGCACGGCGTGATGGTGCAGTTGCGGCCCGCGGACGGGGCGCAGATGGCGGCGGCGCTGCCGTCGGGGGAGACCCGCTGGCGGGGCCTGCTCGTGGACTATGTGGAACTGGTGGGCGTTCACTGGGGGAGGGGGGCGTTGTTGTGATGGGGCCTTCGGAGAGATTTTGAATTTAGTGGGTTTGGGGTCTTCGGGGGTTTTGCATGGAGGAAGGAATAAAATTAGTGGAGGGTTGGGTTTGGGTGAAGGGTTTCGTCTCCGCGGTGTGTGTGTGTGTGTGTACGTATGTATGTCCTAAAGAGGTGGAAGAGAGCCGAGCGTTTGGAGCTAGCAGCGTTTGGAGGTTGTCTTTCTTGGGGGAGGGTAGTTGCCTTTTGACTGGCCGCGTCTAGAATTCTCCTCCATTAGTCCCCCTTCCCACTCATCACATGCTCCATCTCCTTGGTAGTGTTGTTTCGCGCACCTCCCGCACCCCCCCCTCCCACAGCCCTTTCCTGACCCCCTCCTTTCCTGCATGCGATTTGCACCCCTTTTCTTTCTTCCTAGGTTCCTGCCCGCCAGGGCAAGCTGGTGCTGCCCTCGGGTCACCTGATGAACCACCAGCGGGGGGGGGGAGGAGGAG